ATGACATGACTCCAAACACTGGGTTGTGACGACAGATGCTAGGTCCAATTTCTTCATAATCCTTTTTGGTGTGGCATACTTGGTAGAACTCAGGCTGTAAAGAAAAATGCATATGTTTATAATGTTCAAAAACCTACCTACCGCTTTTCAATATGCTTTACTATTTCAATATGCTGGTTTTCTTGGTTAAGTCTATAATGATTTTCTATTAGCCCAACCACTGTACTTGAATGAAGGTTAAGAAATACTAGAAATCATGACTTACAGTTAGCCCTGTCAGAACTGAAGCAGGGCATTTAAATCCTATCTTTTCTAGGTATCACTCAAAACACATGTTGCTCCTGGGATTAGGAATTTTGAGGACTAGAAAGTGTGTATTTGGAAGTCTCAGCTGTCTGTAGGGGCTTTCCCATATTATGCATTGAACCAACAATCTGAAGCATTAAACAAAAAGTGCAGTACACCACTCCTAGTTATTCTATAGATACATCTATTGTTTTTTTTTTAAAATCCAGAGTCTTCCTTTCTCAAAGGGTAAAATATGAACTCTATTAGATTATACAGCACAAGTGAAGACGATTAAAATTAAAAAAGAATTATCATTATCCCCTATTTTTAAATGGGTTTTTAAGTTCAAGGTTATTCAGATAAAAGCTCCTTCTTTTAAATACTCTGTGCACTACCAGAATAAAGCACCAATGATATCAGAATATCTTTTAATGAAGCTGTTTTGATTTGGAGAGAAGATTCTTCTCTATTAAAGAAATTTTTTAAAAGAAACTTCTAATGAACTTGTTTTGCGTTAGAAAGGAGGTTCTTAGAACAATTTCTTTACTCAATTTAGAACACTATTTTTCCTATATAATAAGACAAAAATGTAACTTAATGCTTTTAAATATTTGCACAGCAAAAAAATGCCTTGTTAATGTCTTTATTACTACTAGGTTAAAAGAATTTTCCTTGCAAATAAATGTAAATATAGTATAAAATGTTTTGTCTTAAAAAACTCTTGTTAAAGAAAGAACATGAACATTTAAATCAAGTAATTTCTACTTATAAAATACTATTTATCCAATTCCATAACTTTCCTAGCAACATTTAGATGACACTTGTTATTGTTAGGTGCCCTCAAATTGAGTATGACTCATAGCAACCCTATGAACAAAAGATCTGAACCCTATTCTACCCTCTGCTATCCTCACTCTTCCTGACACACGAGAGCCCACCATAGCAGTCAGTGTCAATCCAGCTGGTCTACCAGAAGAGGGTATACCTCTTCTTCAACCCTCTACCTTTCTGAGCATCATGTCCTTCTCCAAGGAATAACTCCTCCTAACAGCATGCCCCAGGTAAATGAGACTAAGCCTCATCATCTTTTCCTCCAAAGAGCACTCCAGGTGCATTGCACCCTCTCCAAGACAAAAGAACAAATATGTCGTGGAAAGGGCACAGCCAGAGTGCTCTTTGGAAGCAAAGATGACAGAAGTCTCTTAAAAACTTTGCTACTCTTAATATTTAGATGACACTTAGAAGAATCTTATTGTTCTAAACTGTGTTATATACTGATAGAATAATCTTTTAAAAAAAACCCAAGAAATCTTGAAAATAAGCTCCACCCCACTTACCGTGGAAGCCAGCATTGAACCTCCAAACCAAACTGCATATCGCTGCATGTGGTGTGTAATGACTTGTACATCAATAGGCTTTGGCTAAAAAAAGAAGATTTACGATTACTTCAATAGTAAACTCAAAAGTTCATGTATCATTTCACCTTAAAATATATGCTAACTTTATATTACATCTAAGAGATATTACCGGAAATCCCTGAGACGGGTTATCTACAGGCGAAAAGAAAGAGTGGAGACTCTGAAGCAGATGGGGACCAGGAAAGAATGAATAGAAGAAAAGTAACACTGAGTATATATTATTCTGTTTTTATAATTTTTAAAATTTATAGTTCTTATTTCATAGACTTAAAAGTAGATATACGGTGGAAATTGGTATATCATTGACACAAACTAGAATAACTGCATTTTTTAAAAGAATAGGCACAGTGAATAAACCTTCATGCTAAAGATAAAAAATAAGGGTATACCGAAGTTCGTATAAATATTTTTCATAGCAGTGCTACGAGTTGACGGCACTTAACAACAATTGAAAAAACCTTTTAAGCTACTACACACACACACACACACACACAGAGGCTAGCAAAAAATGCATAATGATTAACGAAATCTGGCCTGTCAAGGTCAGAAATTTTTTTGTTGTTGTTAAGTGCCATTGAGTGAAGTATGACTCACTGCAACGTAATGATTAACCGATCAGAACCTTGTCCTATCCTGTGCCACTGTGAGAGAAGTTAAATAGTAAATATGGAAAGTCCGTAAAGGACCTTGTGCTATTCTGGATCATATAAAGTCAGTTTTAAATTTATATGGTCAGATAAAGAACTAGCTATTGATGTGTACGTGTGCACACACACCTGGTTGTTGCCTCCATCCCGAGAAGGCTAAAAACAGTGAAACTCCAGTAACAGAGCACATCTAATATCTCGTTTCCTTAAGCAAACTCTTCATTAAAAGTACAAGGGTGTCTTGGGTGGGAGGGAAACCTAGTTCCATGGTCTTAGCAAGGGCAGTACAAGATAAGCTTGCAACACCTGGTTGCACCACAAAGTAAAAACGTACTGAAAAATTATAGTGCAGTTTGCACCCACCAGCTGCTCAAAAAGATGGGCAAGTTTCCTCCCATTAAGATTCACAGGCTCAAGATGGATTAACTCAGAGGCAATGCGCGTTGGTTACAAGTGGATACACAGACATAAACTAAACAGCACTACGAAAATGAACGAGATTATACTGAAGAATAGATTTAAGCTGACAGGACCACTGAGACTATAACCCTGAGAGACCCTTCAAACCAAAAACTGACCTTAACCTTGTGGCTACACACAAGGAGGCCTATAAGGTGAGTACCACCAGCAATACATTCCTTAGACCAACCAATCATACTCAACCAAAGGAGCAGCATTTGCCCAAGGATAAAGCTCAGAACACAGAATAAGGAGAGACAGACATAGGAAACGCTGGGAGGAGGGGGAAAAACTGCTACTACATTACGGGAATGTCAATCAGTGTCACAAAACAAAACAAACTGCTGAATGGAAAACCAATGTGGTCAGTAAACTAAGACCCTATAGAAGACGACTAATTGATTTCATAAACCTTCATTTTTTTATATATGCTTTGCTTCAACAGTCTACACCTAACAAAGATAAAAATGAAAACTCAGTAAGTTCAGAAAAGTCTGCTTAGTGACTTAGTATCTCCCTAAAGTCTGTTTGTTCCTGCTTTAGTGTTATTTATAGTTTCAAAGGTTCATAAAATATTATCCTTGGAATAGTGCAAAGAATCCACTACATACAAGCTATCTGTAAAAGACAGAGAAAAACAAATGAGTAACAGTAAAAATTTAATAATCTTCCTAAAAATATTTACCAGAAATGCAGTCAGTAGAGGAATGACTCAAACGACCAAGCACATGATGGACATGAATCTGATTTCTCAGCAGTGTAGAAATTGACATACACTTCCCACTTCAACCACAATAAAGGAGGTATCCTCACCAATAACTCAGAAAACCCACCTTCAATCTACCGCCACTCAATTCTTCACTTAATTTCAGTCTGGCATCAACAGTTCTTTTCAAATCTCTTTGCAAGCGACGTCCAAAGTCCCTGAACATAGTTGAGCCTCCAGAGAGGACAATATTCTATATGGGTTGAGAAAAATTCAAAGGGGAAAAAGAAATTTAACATGTAAAACTTGGTACTAAAATTTTATAACATCCTTTTAAGAAAGGAGATTTTTTTTAACTTAATATTCAACAAGGCATGGAGGTATGTGTTTGTTTTTTAAAGATGACCCTAAATAACAATTTTGATAGAATACTGACCTTGTAGAGAGGACGTCTGACATCAATAGGACAATTCTGAATTACTTCATCTACAACTTCTGAGATAGGCTGTGTGAAATCTGGATTAGCAAACTGAAAAATAAGGAAATTTGGATATAAAGACTGCATCACTACTGACTTAAGTGCCATAATAAACTACAAAAGTTTGTTGTAAAAAAAAAAAAACTAAAAAAATTTTCCATTTTAAACAGTTGCTAAAACAAAGAACTTTTACATTATTATAAAAAGATAAGGAAAAGGGAGCTCTGGTGGCCTAGTGGGAAGAAGCTGTACTGTAATCCCAAAGGAGTGTGGTTCAAATCCATAGATGTTCTGCGGGAGAAGGAGGAACAATTTCCTCCTGTAACAGTCAGATCGATTTGATTACACACACACACAAAGATAAGGAAAGGTTTACACACAGAATCAGTCTTCGGTGGTACCAGTCAGATCCAATCTGATGGTGTGTACGTACACACACACAGAGAGAGAGAGGTAAGGAAAGGTTTACACACAGAATCAATCTTGGGTGGTTACCTGGAGTGGGACCAGAGGGAAAGAGTGGTGAGAATAGTTGTACTAGATGATGGGAAAGGTATTATACAATAAGAAGCTTATCAGACATTCTAATTAATTACATTAATCCTTTGCAGTTAGTATTATAAAACAAGCATGAATGAATAAAAATTTATAAAATCAAATAATATTTGTAGTATGATTTTATATTTAAGACTTTCTATTCCTTCTAATCTCCAATTTTAAAAAGTACTGTTTCAGAAGAAATTAAAATAATGATATATACCTTTTTGTAATGATTGCAACAGCAATGAATTCTTTTTTTCTCAAACTACAACTCTTTATACTACAGCCTTCCATAAAGATTGCATATCAACATCAAGAAGACAAAAACGGTCACCACTAGACCGATATACGTTATCATGATAGATGAAGATCAGATTGAAATTGTTAATGATTTAATCTTTCTTGGATCCAAAATCAACACCACTGGTACTAACAGTCAGGAGATCAGGAAACGGACTGATGGTATTGGGTAAGTCCACTGAGGAACAATGATGTTAGTTTGATGAATAAGGTGTGACTGATTCAGGTCATGGTCTTTTTAATCGCTTGCTATGCTTCTGAGAGCTGGAAAATGAATAAGGATGACAGAAGAATTGATGCTTTGGAGTTGTGTAAAGAAGAGTACTGAATATTTTATAGACTGCCAAAAGAACAAACAGATATGTCAGAATGCTCCTTGGAAGCAGGAATGGTGAAGCTTCGTCTCACACTTTGGGTCAGTTGCTAAAACAGGCTATTCTTTGGAGAGCATCATGCTTAAGCGTAAAGGTCAGTGAAGGAGAGGAAGATCCTCAACAAAACGGACTGACACAGTGACTATAGCAATATGCTCAAGTGTGTCAGAGATGAGGAAGGCACAGGAGAGGACAGGGTTCAGATCTGTGGTTCACAGGATCATTATGAGTCATGCTCAGCTAGACAGCACCTAACAACAACCTCAGTACTTTCCAATGTTAGTAATATGCACTCCCTTCAGTAGTTATTTCAAAATACACAATGTTCTCTGCGTCTTCTACTCTATGTCGAACTCCTAATCCCAAACATCAGTCTGATTATACTTAATGCAAAAAACTAAAACTGAAATACAATGAACTTCCTCAACTACCTGTTTGCATCTCACTGATTCAATGTACTGTCTCTATCACAATTCCACTAAAGCTTCTAGCAAAAGACTAACTTTGCTACTAAAAACCCCTGAGTGCTTCTCAGATTTCCTCTTGCAGGAAAAACTCTGAAGAGCAATGATGATATCAATTTAAAGCCTAAGGTATGCCTGATCCAGGCCACGGTCTTTTTAATCACTGCCTACACATTTGAGAGCCATACAATAAATAAGGGTGACAGAATAATTGATGCCTTTGAGTTGTGATGTTGGAGAAGAGTACTGAATATTCCATGGATTACCAAAAACCCACAGGTTTGTCTTGGAAAAAGTAGTCAACATACTTCTTGAAGGTAAAGATGGCCAAGCATCATCTCCTATATTCTGGACATGCTGCTAGAAGGGGCTATTCCTTAGAAAATGAACATCATGCCTGGAAAGGTGGAGGGTCAGCGAAAAGGACGAAGATGCCCAACAAGATAGTTTGACATGGTTATTGCAGCAGTGGGTCCAAGAGTGTCAAGTGGGTTAGAGATGACGAGGCTGGCACAGGATAGGAGAGGGTTCAGGACTGTTCATAAGGTTACAATGAGATATACTCGACTCAATGGCACCTAACAACCACCACCACTATTTTACTTCTTTCAACTTTAGGGCCATAATCCCTTGACATATATTCTACTTGTCTGCATCCTTACTTCAATATTCTGTCTACATTCTTCTTACTTAGCCTGTTTACTCATTATTGGTCTTCACTAAGCCTCATTGATTCATCATCTTCTTCCTACTCTACATCCTTTCTCCTGGTTAATTCCTTTCTCTGCCACAAACATGGTGATTATGTCACATCTGTGCTCTCTAGAACACACATCTCAGTATGAATTATTTCAAAGATGCTCCATAAACTTTTTTACTATACCTACTGTTCCTACTCAGGGTTCTTCATTTTGGTGGATAGTATAGTATCAAGTTGGTCAAGTTATAAACTAGCAGACACCAAAGAATCTTCATAGCATAATAATCTCTAATTTTTGAAGATTCTTTTCTTTAAAGTTTCTTTTAATTTTTCTCAATCTCACAATTGATATAGGTATTGTGCATCTTGCTTTCAGAAAACTGCAATAAACTCACCTATCTGCAACTCAGTCCACATTTCTTTTACAAAGTACCCAACCTAATAGTGCATACTAACTTTTTCCAATACATGATGAAAGTGTATCATTTTCATGCTGATGCCATAATTCAGCTCAATTTATTTATCAATCCCTTCAGTCCCTCAAGAATATGATCACTGACATTCTAGAACACGTATCTTAATCCATCTCCTACTGTTTCAATTTCTATTTTTATCGTCTAGCTCTCTCCAACCTAGACTTATCTCTACTGTCAGAAATGTAATGTTCTACCTTATCTCGCAGGTAAATATCTATTCATCCTTTAAATTTCAGTTCAACTGTTATCTCCTCTAGAAGTTTTCTTGATCCTCAAGTAAACTTGGGTGTTCTCTGTTCCTAATCCTTCAACAAATACACACATACAATAAAACAACTATGTGTATACAGATATTCCTCTCTCTGTAATTGCTAAGCTCAAAAAAAGCAAAATAATTTTTCATCTTTGAGTCTCTAATACTTAAACTGACAACATGAAAATGGTATCTAACTTAATGTTTACTTCATGAATACGTTGCTATTTTAATGTATAGGTGATATTTTAAAATAACCATTCTCAATACTAAGTAAAAGGAGAAGACCTCAGCTGCTTCAGTGGATAAAGTTAAGCAATCTTCTGTGTGATTTACAGCCTACTGTAAAATTTAAAACCTACTGGATGGTTAGCTCTAAGTTCCAACTACAAGCAATGACTTTGACTTTTTTTTTTCTCTTAAATTCTATTAACAGGAGATGAAAACATTTTCTAAAAAAAAATTAAAAAACCAAAAAAAACACAACCCCAAACATTTTCTCCTAAGCCCAGCATTCTCTACTTTGTCCTAGTTTTCTATCCTAAAGCTTTGTTACTTCATTCCAGGTTAGCAACATTTCCTGATTAAACTTAAAGTAATTTGAGATTTGATAACTTTTTTTTGTCTGGCACTGGAGAGAAAGCTGCACTATGATTGGTACATTAACTTTTTTGTCTGGCACTGGAGAGAAGGCTGCACTATGATTGGTGCATTTTAATCAGCTTGCAGGAATTGGTTAATATACTTAGGCAAATGGAAGTGACAAAGCATCTGAAGCCTACCTAAAGGGCACTGGTCAGTTTGTAACTCTGGTGGGAGTGGCACAATTTAAAACTGGCCAAGAATTTGTTTATGTATGTTGGCCAACCCCACTAGGAAAGCCAGGAGGCAGAGGTGGGCTGGGGCGGGGAGGATGTTGGGAGAACAGCAAACAAACACACCAGGAGAGAATGAAGAACAAGATGCAAGAAGTTCCTAAAAGAGCTGTAATACAGGCCAAAACTGAAGGCGGGAGGAGACCTGGAAGGGGCCCTGAGGTAGTGTTAACAGTGACAAGAGAAAATTACCTCTAATAATGCAGCTAAAAGAGATGTACAGAAATGCTACAATGGCTATGCGTCAATAAGCAGTGGAGAGGCAGAAAAGGTGATGGCTGAAGCAGAGAGGTCTGCAGTGCTGAGAGAAAGGCATGCACAGCCCAAAATGAGGATAGTCGTAAGGGAGCCAAGAGGAATCTTTCCTCAAGGGGCTGAAGAGCGGAAGTTTATCATTAGGGGACTACTGGGGGCTTGCACAGCTGTTGAGAGTCCTGGTACATGGCAAAGAGAAGGCCAAGAGATGGTGAGAGAATTGGCCTGGACTGAAAAAGCAGAACTGTGCTCTTCACTTTGGGAAAACCTTTTAGTCTTTGCCTACAGGCTTCCTTACCCTGATCTGAAATTGTAGCCTGTTAACTAGTATGTATGATCATTGAGTTCTGGAAGGTCATTACAATGAATAATCAAATCCAAGAAAGAAGAGCACAGAGGGAAGAACAGCTGATGTCCAATCTGGTAAAAAGACTGTAGTGCAGAGGTATGTACATCTGACCTCTGTCTGAGGCATAAGCTTTGTGCTGGTAATCATTCCCTCTTGTGAAGTTAGACAGTGCTGGCAACATCATTCCCTTTTGTCAATTTAAGATTGTTCTGATGCCAAACTACTACCATTCTACACTCATTACAGTATCTCAGTATATCAAAGAAAGTTGCTGAGATTAATTTTTTAGTATCTTCTAGTGATACTTTCTGTTGGAAATTTCAAAGCAATTCTATTAAGAGAAACTTACCTCTGGATGAAAAAAGATTTCAGGTCCCAAGAATCTTTCATAACCAACATCAATGGAAAACTCTTTCTTTGAGATAGCATTGATTCCCGTATACTGTTTAATCCACTTTGATCCATCTGTGTCATACTTATTAAATTCTTTTACTAAATCTGGGCAGACATAACTATAGCGCTCCTTGAGAAAACAAAGAAACAGAAGTCATTTTATCCCTCTTGCTTTAGCAAAGGGATTATCTCTTTTCAATGACATAAAATTTAAATTATAAATATTCAAGAAATTAAGAAATCAAGGCAGAAGACAATTTTATATTACAATATTACCACTGTTTGTGTGGTATAAATAACAATGTTCTGCAACAATGAATGAATGGAAATCCAAACTCTCTGTAAATTTTCATTAAAATTAATAATAATAAATTTTTTTTAAAAAAAAACCAGCGTTCATCTCCATATAATTTCTGACTTCATACACAGTAATACTAAAAAGCTTTTTACTATGTAAATCTTGTTTCATGAAAACAGTCACTATCTGGTATTTTTACACTGTTTTAATTAACAAAGCTTGTATTTTAGAGAGGGAAATAAAACATACAGATGTGACTAATTGTTTGTACAATCATATAAATTACCACAAATATGTAATAGAAATCTAGAACAAGATGTCTTATTGTCAAATAAAACAGGTTGCAAATAAAAATTACTCTTTCATTTAAGATATATAAGACTGAATTACTGCATATTTGGTTATATGCACAAAGTAAAAGTTTTTATCAAAATACAACTAAAAAATATCACAGATTTTATGTATGTATGTACGTGTGTGTGTATAAACACGCATGCATATATATATGCACCTTTTGTTTGTAATAACCTCATTAAAAAATTTAGAAAAAAAACCATTATTTCACATATTTTTATGCCTCGAGGATTCTATTTAAGATAAAATCCTTGAGAGTACTATTGATTACTAAATTTAAAAAATCATATTAAAAATAGTAAGTGGTTTGTGTGTGCTATATTAGGTCTTCTTTCTCCAAACTTCAGACATAAAATGGAAATTATATTTTTTAAAAAGTTCATTCAAATAAGGTATCATTCTTTGCTAGAAAATATTTCATGTGTTTGGGATTCATTATTATTATTAGTATTATTATTATTTGTTTGAACTTCACAGATTAAACAGTCCTTCAAAACATTTTACATATTTCATTTTTATTCTATCAACTTGGAATGAATTTTGACAACTGTTAGATGATTTCTTTACTAGAGTTCATGAACTATCTCTCTGAATCTTGGAAGAGCAATGGAAAACCCTATAAATATACACAAGTAAACAAATAAATTAAAGAAGGTATCCTTTAAGAGAGCAGTTTGCTCTCACATGTGCAACACATATGTGAGAAAACCCCTGACATCAACTCAGAATGTTCACAAATGATGTATTTAAAAAGCAATGCTAAGTGTAAAGTTCACGAAGTATTACATAATATAAGAGACTAATTATTAAAATCTTACAGTGTTCACTTTTTTTCTATTACAACACATTACTTGGCCATTTAGTGAAATAATACACTACTACTAAAGGGGAAAAAAAATCACAAAATATAAAATCATTGGTATAAATGTTGTTCAATATGTGAAATGAGAAGAGTAAACAAATGGTTGATAGTCATCAATAATTTACTTACAAAACATAAAAAAAATGAATATAAGAGCAATGACATTTAACTGGCTATCAGGAAAAACGTTTCAAATACTTCTATTTTAAAATATTACATGTTACTGCAACGTGACTTTCTTTTTAACTGAATTACATTGCCATTACTATGTTTTACCTTTACTGCCTTAGCAGTTTCCAAAGATTGCTCTGGAGGGATTCCTACTTCTCGGTCTCTCAGCAGCTGCTGAATAAAATATGTTATGTCTCGT